CAATTTCCTGCTGCTTATCCGAGCCAGAGTCAGCTGTGGTATTTGAACATCTATTGCCAAATCACCAGGCACCACCACCATACCTTGGCTCCCCTGAGTCTCTGTAGTAGTTACAGCAAATGCTATATGCGGAAATACAGATAAATGGTATACAGCAGGAAAAAAGCTTTCTAACAACCAATAACCATTTTCCCCAATTTCAAAAGGGAATTTTTCAAATTTTAAACTTAGATTTTATTTCACAAGGGAATACTCTCTTGAAAGAGATCAAGCCTAGACTATTTGAACAGTAGGTGTTTCCATTTCAGAGAGGTGTGATTTTTTTAAGAGTTATGTACAGTGATATTTTAAAATCCTGCAGCAAAAACTATTCTTCCTGCTTACAAATGCCAGGTTCCCTATTATTATTGCATTAAGGATGACAAATATTTGATAAGAGACTCTTGATTTCCAGATCTTCCACTGGCCAAACACTCGGAAAAACAAATCTCAATAGTAAGGATTAATGTCACTGTAGGTGATGCTAAGTCTATTTGGCCTCTGGCTAAGTAGCATTTTATTAATAAAATTAATTTTTCGTATTTACCATTCTGCAGCTTAATTTCTTTTGAAGTCTTAAGCAGAAAACATACAGGAAAGAGTCCACTGCCCGGGAAAATTTACTGCTGCCACAGTAAATGCATAACTGTTCTATAACTCCTTACAGTCGTAAAGGAAGAGCTCTTCAGTCAATTACAAATGAAAGAGGATTTGCACTGGCAGAAAAACAGCAATCCTAGTTGAAAACCAGGCAGGATACAAACACTAAAGACCTAGCTTTTTCAGTAAGTGGCATAACTTCTTCAGCTACTGCATGAGGTTCAGATTGCCTACCATATGTGAAAAACCACACGCCTTCACTAGCACATTTACCCCAACATCAAGACTGGATTCTATATCTCCTCTTTGTCTGATCAAACACTGACTTAGTACATGTTTTCCTGTAAGATCCAGCAGAAGGCTCCTGCTACCTCTTTTGGCTGCAAGCCTGCAAAATTATTTTCTGTTATGATGTGATGCATCTATACTGAGCAAGAGAAAAGCAGTTTTCTTCTTACATGCTGACAAGTGGCATTTTGATTCAGCTTCCTGAGGCCAGGAAAAAAGGCACTCTCAAATACATACCTCACCCACAGAGCCTGATCCAAATACACACCGCAATTGACGAAGATAAATTTCAAGTGCACCAGAAGTTATTTGGGAAAGTGAAATCAGACTATAATTTACCAGCATAAATGCCAATGATTATAAAAGCTATTTTAGCCCTCTGAGTGATGGGTGACAAAAACCTGAAAAGGGATAATTGCTAACCACACAGGCTTCTAAGAGATTATATTAGTATCCCCATTAATGAAACAGCAAAGTAACTTCTCATAATGTATGTATGATTTTAAAGCATTTGAGAGCTATAAGCATTTGAGAGCTATAAGCATTTGAGAGCTATAAGCATTTGAGAGCTATAAGCATTTGAGAGCTATAAGCATTTGTTTCTTTAACGTAATAAAAATTGTCCAGAGGGAGAAAATTCCAAATTGTACTTTCAGGCAGGTGGGTACGGAAAGGTTGCTTCAACAGCGCACAAGATCACCGGCTACTCCTTTTAATCAGACTGTAGCACCGCTGCCATGCTTTAAGCATTCACATGCACCCAACAGAATGATGACCAAAAGCCATGATGACCCATATCAAAACACAATATGCTCTAAGGTTTGCTTTAGCTGCATCTCAACCTGTAGATAAAGATGCTGTTTGGGCAGAGCTCAAAAAACGTTATCACAGGCGTTCCCCTGTATAGCAACTGTGGCTCTTCATTGAGATGCAGGTAGTGCTTCGATACCGAAGACTGCAGTGCATCATTAAAGTACTGTGAAGACAAACAACACCCATGCTGCATACCAAGTGGTATTACATTTAACTGAATCATTTTATTATGAATACATCCAGGTCTGCCACTGTGAGCCACTTGTGTAAAGTGTGCTGGCAGAAATGGATCTGCACTAATTACATTTCATGCATATTTCAGAATTAACCTCAGGGATACAGAAAGGTGGCAATAAAGAGGAATTTTATAATCAAGTTCATTTGCAATTGGCAGCCACATCAAGACTAGCTTTTCTCAGAGATAACCCTAAAACATCTCACAGTAGGGAGTGTTAGTTTTATTATAGGTGTTTCATTGAAGCACAGGATACATGAAGATTTTAGATCTCTTTATAACAGCGAACCTTAATCAGAAACTAAACCACTTTCAAATATGAAAGGCTGAAGGACTTCAGCTAGTTTGTCAGTTCAGCTGAAATTTAGGGGAAGCAGTCTACCCATATTTTTCTCCAGGAGGTACCACAAAGCACTACAATTAGCATACATCCGTAGGAGATAATTTCCTTTCTATAATAAAGGGTTGTTTCTTCTTTTCTTCCCTCATTTAACTTTCTGAAATCTCTTGTAGGGACACACAGTCTCAAGTTCTTTATCGGGAAAACACGGAAAGGTTCGTTTGCTTTTTTCTTTCACCTGCTTCAAGACCGAATTGCAAACATTTTTCTTGCTACTTGTGATCCTTTTACCACTTTCCTGCTCCTTTTCCAGTAACATGAGTTGATTATTAAATGAGATGAAGGGGCATCTATGAGCTTATTTAAAATAGAAGGAATTTCAGACTCTTTGGGAACAAGCCAGCAGTCTTCCGGATGCACGGCCACTGCTGAACGCGCCAGACCTCAACACCTAGGTGCAAAATAAAGACATCTCCAGTTTTTCCTTCAGAATGGATGGGAATGAGTTGCTTGCACAGCACACAGTCTGCCTTGCTTAGTTTTTCTCATCCTTTACCACTAAACAAATTTTTATTTATTTTGCTCTTCATCAAGTTGTCAGTGATCATTTTCTATTATTTGTTGTATATTATTATTCAGGGCCCTGTTGTACAAATCATTGCACAAATATACAACATTCTAGCGGATACATTACGCTGGTAACATTTTTGGTATATGTGGCTGTGAGACAGGGTAGTATGGTCACTTTATATAGAACACCTATTACAGAAATGTCTGCAACTGCAAGGGAATCAGCTCGATAATCCCAGTTAGCCCTTCCAGTCATCAATTCTTACGACATAGTCCATGTCTAGACAAGCTGCACGTTTATAGGGTGCAGAAAAAGCAAATAGGTGATTTATCCAAGGTCACATTACAAACTGTTCCTTCTATTTGCTATCAGACCTAAGTCTGATCTCAATACAAAAAAATGTCTCAGCTAATGAATCATGCTAGTTTTCTTTTCAGTTTTGTGCCTCTTTCATTTGATGCATCTGCATTGAAGCTTATTTGTTTTATAATGAGGCAAATGAGAAGCAGAACTTACGTCCAAGAGTCTCTTACTCCTGCAGACAGAAAGCAATTAGAGTCACAGTTATCAGAGAAAAGTTGAAACATCACCATTTGCAGATCTATGTTTTGCAAGAGTCTCCAAAGATATGGAAATACCATACATGAGCTCTGCAGCCCATAAGGCAGATTAGGAAGCATTACAATAAAAATCTCATGTGGAATCATATACAGCCTGACACAAAAGTAACAGCTTAGCAATTTCGAAACCATCATTTGCTTGTAGGTTGTAAAAGGCTTAAAATATACAGCTATAACAGCTACGGATAATATGAAATTGCCCATTCTGCCAGGGAAGAAAGGGGGGGCTATTCTTTTTAGCATTCCTTGAAAATAAAGCTGCAATATACCAATAACTAAATGCAGACAAGGAAGTCACATGCAAGCTCCTTCAAACACAGTTCACTGTACGTTTTCCTTAGGCCCCTTTCTGCAAGAGGCTACCCAGAAGCAGCAGAGATTAATGGAGCTGCCAGAACAGCTGAACAATCATCAGAAATTCAAACTAATGAGCCAGTAAGGGGTTGAACCCATCTCATTTCTTCTAAAATCAGTTTCCACAGCATTGTCCTAAATTCTCGGTGCCTCCGCTCTGGCGACTGACAAATTTTAGAAGTACTAGCAAATATAAAGAAGGTGGGTTTTGCAGCACAGAAGTGGGATTACAGAGGCAAGAAGCAAATAAGTAAACCAGTGAGTGAGGATGTGGGCACACAGTACTAATGCCTGCAGTCCCACGACTGTAAATATTAGTGGAGTCTTTATGCACTGAACCTTCTTTGCAGATGCAGAGCTCTTCTCTACAGCTGATATCCTCAGAGGTATTTTTGTACCCATCTCCTACTTAGGTTTGATTTGAAGTAAATGACAAAGAGGCCTTGATCCACTTTTGACAGTCTGTGTTTGTGTATTCAGCAGTTTACATAAGCAGTAAATTCAGTCAAGTGTTAAAAACACACAGCCTGTCACTAAGTAAAGACACTAAGTAAAGCGCGTTCTGTCCTCACGTCTTACCTACAAGAAAGCATCAGCAATGCCAGTAATTTCTCCCAGGCTGTCAAAGTCATGCCTTCCTAGAAGGTGAACTTTGTTGGGTGTAAAGGAAGGAAAATTATGATGTGCGGAGGAAGACTTTAGCTTTTTTCTTCCTGACAAAAGCTCAAATAGTTTTTTTCACAACAAAGGATTCATTGTGAAGAGAGACCTAGATTCCTCAAACGGGCTTATATTAATGCCAAAAAGCCATGAGGTACTTGCTCTGTAATACTGCAGTTTAGCCAGGTAAAACGTGTTAGTACTACTACATTGAAAACTAAAAAGTAGTCTTCAATATTAATAATGCTTTAAATATTACACCCTATCTTTGATTGGAAGACGTTTTCACACCTTTACATCGGAATGCCTAGACAGCACAATCAACTTAAGTGTTAAGTTTGAGAATACATTGACATGCCTTCCATGGAGATAGTCTCAAGACTGTTCAATCCCTTCTGCTGCTTAGGTGCTTTCATGTCTTAGCCTCGTTTGTGCCTTAGCCTTAGAAAAGCTAAGGGCCTGTTATTTGCAGCTCTATAACCTTTCTCTGGAGCCACTGAGACAATGTTTGTCCCCCTTAACGTTCTCATGGCTTTGCATCTGCAAACCTGAGAATGTTGTTAGGGCAGGAAGCAGCTACAACCGGCTAGAATCACACCTCCTCCAACACTGCTTTTTACCTCATTTTGTATATTTTAGCTCTCATTAGAGAAAAACAAGCACAGTGCACAAAGCAGATAGCAGTCACTTAGACACTTGATAAATATTATCTAAGATCTTCAACCACCTTGCCATCTGTTGCACTGGAGAAAACTCAGAGACCAAGTTCTCTGTCAATAAGCCTACCGAGGCTTCCTGAAAATTTGGCTATGAACGTTCTCCTGGGTTCTGACGACTTTTGAGCTTATCTGAACTTGTTCTTGGTGGCTAAACATGGACCAAGGATTCTTGGAGAACCTGGCCACTAAGGAGCTAATGCTGCTTATGGGAACCTTTAACTGGAGTTCTAGGCAGTTTCTATAGCTTACCTTGTCTTTGGAGAAGCTGAAAAGCTGCTTTCTTTTGATAATAAACTGACCAGCTATCACTTTGGCTGAATAGTCTTGATGAAAACCTACAGGTTTTGACGTGACAACACAGGTCCAAAGACAAATGTAGTGGTGAATATCAGCAGTAGCTGTTCAAGATCACAAATCAAAAATAGATTAAACCCAGAAGTACTCTTAAAAGGAAGTGGAAGAGGTGTTTTACTTTATAGACTACCCCTTTGTTTTGAAAAACACAGTGAACGACACCTTAGCTAAATGAGAATGTTTATATTGCAAGATAATATATTATAGCACTAATAAGAAATAATACATAATGGCTTCCCTTTTACTCCCATCTTCAATTACCTGAAGGCTTCCCAAGCTTACTGTCTAAACTGAAACTTCACACGTGAAGTTGATTTGCCTTTCAAAAAATCACAGCCACTATTATAACTGATGTGGTATCAGTATTCACTCTAATAGGTAATATGCGTACAGATAAAACACTAAAACTATTGGTACAATACATAATCCTACTCATCAAAATAAATCATGGTAACTTGGTAAAGAGAATAAACTTATAAGTTTTTAACATACCAGTTAAGCTGAGCTGACAGTGGAAATCAAAAGCATAAAGTCATTGGGCAATAGTGAAACACAGTTGCAACAGATCATTTCTTTCCACATCAGCACTAGTGTATTAATAACACTGGCTGCACTTGAAAAAAAGACATTTAATGAACTATATGCAACTATGAAAAAAACATTCAAAATTAGATTCTCACAGAACTAGGCACATAATGAGAAAAACAAATATTAAACCTGTGCTATGGGCTGACCACTATAGACGCTCCCCACATGGCAATGAACTCCATTGGGTTTGAATAAGTCTCAAAGAGCCGACTCTTTCAAGGTCACGAGCTTTCATGCTTTAACTCAAGACTGCTCACATACTTATGTGTATTTCTGGAGAATAGCTAGAGATCTTACCATAGATAACATATGACTCCATAGATAACAAGGATGTGTATTTGATCACATACTAGATCACGTGCATTTAATCCTGTGAGGTATTCAGTGGCATTAACTCTAATGGACTGGAAAAAAATTGTAGGATATCCACTGTTTTGGAATTGACCAAGAAAGGGATCCACTGTGGTAAAATAAATCACACTGCCATGCAATATATACAGCTTAGATAGTTAAGGGCTACGTAAAAAGAATGAAAGCTGGCTAACTCCTGACTGCATTCAACAATCACTTGTGAACCGCTGCTTCTAAATCGTCGCCACTGCCTCAAAACCGAGTTCCAAAGTGATTTTGCAGGAACGACCTCACAATTTTTGTCCACGCTACTAGGCCAGTTGGCCTTCATCCGCCACAGCAAAACTGATATCTAATGTTTACAATACACACTAATTATACTCCCACAAATACACGGTTAATCTACAGTACAATTACAATGGGATCAAAATGCATAACTACCTGAGAAATTACAATGTTATTTTTTCCAGTTAAAATTCAAATCCATTTTTAATTTTTGCTCTGGAAAAAAAAATTAGAAAGTTTAAAATACTTTATACCCAATAAAATGTCCAATATATATATTGCATGCTAACTAACAAAGAAAGTCCACCTGGAAAGACAAATTAGAAAGTTTAAAAGCATCCAAACATTGCTCTAGGACTTGAATCTGCAGGTTATGAGTGGCAATCATGAGAAGCTGTGTTTCCCGAGCTTGGTAATTTGCAGTTTATTACAAAAACAAACTCGTTTCTGACTAAATTGTATTTTAAGTCATGTTCCTCAGAGAACGCCTGACTAAAAGGTGACACTAAAGTAATTTCCATAAAATCAAACTACGCAACAAATCAAAACGTTCAGCTACATAGAGGAGAAAAGGGGCAGACTGAGATGGAATGAACTTCCTAATCATAACTTTCAAGCATCGGTTATGGATGGGAAAGTCTAACATACTGCTATGAAAACAGCAATGCTAACTCTGTTTTACAAAGCACAGCATTCGATTTTCAAATGGTTGACAATGACTTCCTTCATTCTCAGGAACTGCTTTTCAGAAGTGCCCATATATTCAAAAAAAAAATTCTCCAAGGAGCAGACTCCTAGCTGCTATAAATCAGCTTAGCTTCAGTGATTTGCAAAGTTCATCACACAGGGATTTGACCCTTAAAGTCATCTTACAATAAGCAAGATGAAAAACATTCCTCACACACTAAATAAAGACTTCTTCCTGCTATTTTAAATAATCAAGCTAACAATTTCTACAAATTCTTTACTAGCCTCAAGTAAATCAATATCTAAAGCTTCTTATAATCCCTGTCCTTTAACAAACACTGCTCTATAATGCTTTACTAAACTCTCAGAAAAAAGCTATCTAATCTAATCTTTCCTTCAACTTTAGCACTGTTACAACTCCCAAAATTACGTTTCCTTAGCAAATCTCATTAATTTCTGCATTCTTCTTTTTCTTAATTTATTCCATAATTGCCTCATATTGTACACTTCAGACTTTAAGAGCATTCACCAGCAACAACCTCCCACCACACGCTCTTAAGCGGTTCTCTAAATTCTTTACCCAGTCACCTCCACTTGACTGATACTCAAGTTCACACAGCAACACATACAAGCCATTCTGTAGCCCAGAAACAGAGAATCCTTCACATTCAGTCTGAAAAAACACCCTGGGAAGTTCAATTCGAAGGACTTCTATAAACTAAAAAACAAAATGAAATACAAAGAAACAAAATAATGAAATTGTGAATTTTATGAAAAACTTTAGAAAGTCTGAGTATTTTGAGCCATTTGAAATTAGTTGTTCTGAACTGAAACTGGATAATAATTTATATTGGATGCTAAATTCAACCTCATTCACAGGCCTAGGATATGACCTATGTAGCCTTTATGTCATTAAAATAAGACTTAGTATACTGCACAACTGTTATAGCCAAGTAGATAGGGATCTAATTTAAGATCTGTGAAGTTCGTGGGACCTTTCCTACTGAGAATCAGGGCTTGGGCCCAGTTTTCCAAGTAAAAGTAATACCAGCCTAAGTATATTAGTGTTTGCCTGTATAAACCAGTGGTTACTTTATGCTTTTCATCAACATTGCTAACCTGGAGCCAGGGCATGGAATCTCCTTCACATGTTTCTCCTGTCCTTTCGGCTCTTAGCTGCAACACTTCCAAGAGCTGTCCTTTGTCTAACTGAACCCCATTGCATAGGGCTAATGGGGCAAGTCATCAGGACACCCACAAAGCACTGCCAAAAAGCCCAGCATCCGACACATTCTTCTGAGGCTGTTCTTTTTAGGAGTTTCAATTGAGTTAGGCAATCATAGCTGCTTACTTCAACAACATGAAATGCTCAGTGCAAAGATCATTTCATTCAAGAGAATTCTTGTAACCCTCATTGTATTCAGATATGGTACAGGACTTCAAGCGGGACTGCCTAGACATGCAGTTACTGATGGCTCCTCATACCTAGGGACTGCTAGCATTTACTAGTGAGTGAAGTCACAGCATTTTCTGTGAGATTCTTTAAGAATTCATTGCTGCTCAGGCTCAGTACCTTGCCTGACCTGTCTCTATGAAGGATACTATGCCTCATCATACAGCAGCATCTGTGAAGTCCAGAGACTGGCTCCTGCCAGCTAATGGTCACCATTGCTTCTTCCATCTTCAGAAGAACTAGCTAGTCATTCAAACAAGGAAATTAGAGTAGTGGTAAAGGAAGTGACTTGTACTTGCAAAAGAAAGGTCTTACTTGAGGAAAAAGAGCAAAAAAGGTCCTGTCAATCTTTACATTTCAAATCAACAAGCACCAAGGTAGCTGCACTGAGTACAGCATGGAGATTCCACCCTCTTAACTACACATAAACTGGCAAGTCTTCACATTTTAGTATCACTACTATGGCTATTTTCTTTAATGAGACAGAAGGGTTTGGGGGTTGGTTGGTTTGTTTTTAAATGAGAAGAGACCAAAAGACCCAAGCATGTATGAATAGGGCATGTGACAAATACAGAGGTAACAATGTTAGAGTTACTGAAGGGAGTCAACATAAATAGAAAAAAACCTACTTTAGTGGGGCACTGTCATTAAAAAAAGTGAGTAGTGGGATGCAGCTGGGACAAGGATAATTTATCCTGAGTATTAGGAAAGGCTCTCTAACAGTGAGACTGAATTCATATTCTGTGCTGTCAAGGAAAGAGACTAAATGACAGGAGAGGTCTTTCCTCCTGTAATTTCCATGATATTATGATTCAATGATGTATTTCCTTCCTACCTTTGCCTTTCATTTGGGTCATGCTTAGGTATGGTAAAAGAACAAACACCTCCTAGGTCAGCAAATCCAAACCTCTGATACTGCGAGGAATACATCATAAGGTTTTCTTCAAAAATTTAGCAATCTCATGTAACTTAAAAGCAGTTTGGATGCTTTCTTGCTGTTTGATAGTTTGCTCTTCTTACAGTTTTCACTGGACAAATGTACTAAAACTAGCTGCCTTAATGATTTAATCTATTATTCTAGTTACATACCTAACTCATTCAAGACCACTTCATGTTCTTGTGCTGGTATGGTTCTTTCATCTGACTAGTTCTTCCGTTCTGCTTTTTATTCCCTTAACATATCCATGCATGATATTACAGCTTCCCTCAGTCTCAAGAGAGGCTAGGCCTACCAAGAAAAAAACCAAAAACCTTTATTCCTTCTCATAATAAAGGTTATGACAATGAGAATGGGGAGCTGATTTCTCATTTAACCAATGAGAACGTTTCCATTTTAAAACTGAATAAATAAAAGCTATTTTTTTCTGCGAAAATTAATTAGGACATATTAAACTGCTAAATACATTCTCCACTTGCGAATAGGGTCTACTTTATGCCATCTCTTTAGTCTTCTTCATGCTATACCTGTCTGCACAGAGATACTTGCAGGTGTTAGAATAGTTTCATTTTCATCATATGCTTTATGTCAAGCTCATCCATAGCCCTGCTCCCCTCAGGACAGCCTCTACTCAGAAGAGTTCTTGCTAGTATTCAGGTCATAGAAGAAAACCTTTTTGCTCGCAAAAGCAACAGCTATAGAAGAACCACCACAGAGAAAGATTGCTGCACTGAACCACTTAAGGATCCTTAACAGACTTGTTATTGGTTATTCTTCCTATCAATTGGTAGCAGCACATTTGACTGCTGGAAGCATTTGCTCTGTAAACTCCTCTTTGCTCTCTTCACAGCCGATCCATTTCACCCTGGAGACTTCTAAAAGGGGAAGGAAACAACTACTGTATGTTTTCTGTTGCTTACAGATCTGAAGTTGTATTTACCAAATACAAAACAAAAATAGCTTTACTCAGAATTGTATCTCTTCCACCAACTCTGAAAGATGCTAATATATTGATTTTTATCATATATAAAAGAATCCATCTACAGTTTTTAGGTTAGTTTTTAGTTAGCAAAGGAATGCACCACATCCAAATAACAGTCAGCTTTGTTTTTAAATGAATAGTTCTCTCAAGTTCACATAACGGTGTTTAGACTCAGAATCGAGTCCTGATGTCACCATAAATATTGAAAAGCAGTGCCAACACATAATAATTAGGCATTAAGATCAGTCTTTGAAAAAGAGAGGCATGTACACGTTTATAAGACAAAACTGATAGTCCTAAAGACACTCTTGACGTTCCGGGATGAATTCAATTCCACTGTAAGGGATGAAGCACATACCCCCTGACTTGCTGAAACCCTACAGCCCTGAGGACAAGGGGGAATATCGCATGTTCTGCCTCTCCAGCTCAAGAGGTAATCCCAATATATTTCAATTCCCTGAAGAGTACAGTGGTATTTCCTTTTCCATGGGCCAGTCATTCTGCTGGAACTGCCAAAAGTGCAAATTAGTTCCACTTCTAATGAGGTGTTTTGAGCTTTGGACACTTGAGACCACAAACACATTTCAGATGACCCACCGAATAGCTGTCAGATGGCAATGATTTTTGGTTGCTGGGCTCAACCTGATCTGGTTAGCTTGGCTGGAAGCCCCTGTATTTTATTATTGATCTCCTAGGCAATTATCTACTGCACACATCTTTCTGATTTCTTCAATTGTCCATTACCAATACAAAGTCTGTACTTACATGGGGAGGTGCGAAGGGTAGAGAATTAAGTTATGAACACAGTCCCAACTCTTTATAAAAAAAATTCCTGCCTGAACTAGTAAACGCTGACACTTTCATTTTCTTGTTTAATTAAAAAATGAAATTCAGCGCAATAATGGTGCAGAAAAAGCACAACTAAGTCTCATCATAATTCTGTATTATTTTCTTATTGTTAATCCTGTTAGCTACAAATGAACATACTCTAGAATATAAACAACATATTTGAAGAGAAACTTATTTCATTCTTGCAAGAATGAGGATCTCTGCTTTATGAAATGTAAACATAACCTAATCTTCTAAGGTGCTAAGCAATGCACAGTAAACGTTCTGTAACATGAGACAATAAGGGTAAGACAAAGTAACTGAGGTTTTCGCTTGGTACCTGAAAATTGAAGTCAAAAATCATTTCTCACCATAACATGTGAAGAACAAAACAAAAAACCCTTCAAAGTGAACCATGAGTTTTCTTTCACTAGAAATGAAGTGTTTTAATTCAGATTTTTAAATTTCTAAATGTAGCATTATTTAAAAAGAAACATCAGCCCCCCCCCTTTTTTTTTGAAGTACTGTAAGGCAATTTTTTTTTTTTAATATTCCTCCCATTTTTATTTTGCTAACATTAATTAGTAAATTTGATCCACATTTACAGGTATTTCACTCAGTCCAGAGCAACACTTTTTCTTCGAAATAATTCTGTGGTCTGAAAAAAGTTCACTTGGCATTACATGAGAATGGGCTTCAGTGCATCTATTTGACATGTCACCACATGCTCAACGTCAACAACAGCCCTCCTAGCAATTTGCAACATACAGGACCTCTTACATGTTCTCTAGAGATGCGTAAAGGGAATTGTTGTCCTACATCCCTGTAATAGCAGCATATATTTTGAGTTAAACTCACACCAAACGAGTTTACGTTATCCAAGTGCTTACGCATTTAAAGCCAGTAGGAGCACCAGCACCATCTCCAGCTGGCTGCAGTCAAACTTTAATCATAAAATTGTAACAACCTTTTAGCCCCAAGCCATTCTCTCTCCTTATATATTTGGGAGGGAATAAATAACAAGATCTACAATCCCTCCTCCAACCTTGACTAGGTTTTAAACAAGCCACATTCTTAATCTCTTCACAAAATTGATTAATCAGCTCCCTTAATCTTAAATGTACTTTTCGGGTTCTGTTTCCATTTCAGGCAATCTTTTTTGAACCAAGGTAGCTAGAAACATGCATGTGCTTTTCCAAGTCACCTTACCACTACTCATTATAATTATAAAATGCTTCCCTGACTCTCCTACAATGCTGCAGATACTTGACCTACTGCTTCAAGAAAATAATCATGGGATCCTTTCTCATAGCGCTCTCATACTGGTGACCACAATCATTTAAGAAGAATCTTCAAATCTTTTTCTTCTTCAGCTAATTAGTCAACAGGTTTTGCATAAACCAGAAGAGATTATTCCTTTGATAAAAGCAGATCGTGATTTATCCCGCTTTCCTTTGCCTCCTTATCCTTATTTCCTTCACAATATTTCTAAGACTTTGCATAATAGTAAAGCCAGCT